GATAAGAAACATACTTAAGTAAAAGTCATAAACCTGCTCACAATATTCAGGAAAGTGCAATTACTTTTACATACACTCTGAATTTACTGAACCAAACTTGTTTCACTAAACCGAGTTGAGAAAATTGGTTAATTTGCACATTTTCTTTAAAAAAAAGTAAATTACTTTACATGACTTGTATATCCAACACTTCATTTTTTTAGAGTGCATTAGCAACTCCTTTCATGATGAGTTTGGTCTTATTTTAAGCTTGTAACGTGTATCGATGTGTTAAATTACAATGTAAAGAAGCAAAAAACTTTTTGCTTAAATACAACAAAATATAAGTAACAATAAAAAATACTTCATAAAATTACAAAATTACTAAGTATATGTACGTTAAGGCCTGATGTTTTAGACAACTTATGGCAACTTCTGAAAGTTTTAAACACATCTAAGTTGAAGATGGAATAAAAAAATCACTATATAAAATATACTTAAAATGATCAAATTAGTTGAGTTGTGCGCATTCTAAAGTTTTTTTATTTCATGTAAACAGATTTCTTTGAGGCAACAAGTTTGCATAAATTGTTAAAGTAAATTTCACTTTGGATTTATAAAAGATGCTATTTTATGTGATGCATTCAGGATGACTCTGCTAGTACCACATTAAATCTGAGCTTAATATCTGTTTTAGTTATTGTCATTTTTGTGTTTGCTAATGTCAATCAGCTGTTAGCTGCATCTTGAATTGGGTTGACCTCAAATGTTAATGAGCCGTTGATGCACATTTAATGATAATTTTTGAGAGTTTCACTAAATTTGATTCATGAGATATTCTGCTAACAGACAGTTCTTGCTCAGAGTTTGTTGTGGGGATGACTCTCAGCTACCACCGCTCCAGGTTTCAGATCAATAGCTGTCAGATTAGCAAAGTTGTAGCCATTTTAGTGTTTGATAAGGTCACTTAGTTGGCATTAATTTGCTCAGGCCTTTTTGGAAAAGAGACCTTTTGTTGTGAACGTAGCTTGAGGACATTTAAAATGTCAACAAAAGGACACTCAGCACTTGTGCTGTGAAGAGGATGACCCCCACTAGGACCCATTTGGAGGAGATTTCATTATGTTTTCAGTTTTCTGCACTGGGATTTCTGAGGATTGTAGTTTTGGTTGTTAGTAGATTAAATAAAAACTAAAGATTATTTCGTTCTGATATTCCTTCCCAGAGCTCCCAGTCTGCCATCCCCAACCAGAGCTCCCAGTGTCCTCCCACGTCTCCGCCACCCTGTTCCTCCTCTTCCTCCTCCATGTCCTCGTCATCGTCGTCCTCCTCGCTGCTCGGACTGGAGACCGTCCAGCAGCAGGCGCCGCAACCTCAACAGCAGCAAAGCATGATGGGAGGACCGGAGTGTCTACACGGTAAGTGGGTTTAAAAGCAAATGTTGCTGCGATGCATCATAAATTGATTTGAGGAATAACCTCCAGATTAATCAGCTTATAATCACAATATTCTGTTGATCTCGTCAGTCGTAGCTGTACATCCAACGCTGAAAGTTTACTCAAAATCTCTCCAGTGACTCAGGAGATATTTTGCTAACATGCAATGCTGATTGTAAGAGCTCAACTATGAACAAACCAAATTTTAGCTCAATATCTGTAAAACTGACTGAGTTGTAGCCATTTTTTTGTGTCTGCTGATTGCTCAGCTGTGGCGGCCATCTTGAATGGGATTGATTTCGCAAACTGGTTTATTCTTTTTAACCATCATACTYTTAGATAAACACGAATCAGCGTGTGCAGAGGCAGTGATGTGATCTGACACTAATGAGGACTCAGACCCACGATGCATTGCTTTTAATGCAAATTCAACAATCTGATGTYTCTAACAATAACCAGAGGAGGATACACTCTAATTATATCTGTGTGCGATGAATGGCTGACACTGTGTTCTCCGACCCTCCTCTGCTCTCTAACAGACTGGTTTTTTTATTCGCTACAGATTYATAATTTATGGTTTCCTCTCTGGGTTGCTTTTGATGCAAACCAGAGCTCTGAGAACACCAGAAAAAGCCTTTTCTGTCGGTCGCTTCTTCATTTCTTTTGGTCTTTTGTAGAGTTCACTAATCTTGATAACTTTCAATTTTGCGTAATTGAAAYCATAAATCCATTCTTAATAAGTCTGTGATCAGTAACATCTGTTCTTTCCTAAAAGACTCAGCGAAYCCATGCTTTGTAAATGTTTTAATGGATGGATATGCTTGTTTAAATGAAAGATGACAGAATGAGTGGACAGGTGTAGAAAGTAAATGTGACCCATCACGTCAGAATGAGGATACAAGTGGGACATGGAGAAACAGGCAGATACTGTGTTTTGATTAAAATGTTCACAAAAACTGTATTTTGTCAAAATATAATGAATAAATGACTTATCAGTGTATCATTTGAATGAACTGTCTGAAATATAACCATAAAACAAAATTTTGAAGCAGTTTTTTTGAGCAGTAGCAACAAAAAACCTGTTTTTGTGGAAAAACGCCTTAACATTTTGAGATTTTCCCTGTGAGCTAACAAAGTTTTGTTTCTTTTTAGCTGGTAAATCTCAATACTCAAATATAATTTGAGGTTTCCTCTTTATAAGGACATCAAAAAAATCCTCATTAAAATGATATAAATTAGGATTCAGACCAAATATTTATGTATTATTGTAACCAACAAGACAAATTAAGTCATATATATGCATTTAATTATGTTATGTTGTTTAATTATGATATCAGAATGATCCATGTGTAAAAATGTAGCTTTTAAAGTGTATCTTACCCC